AAATCAAGTCTACTAGTCATGCGCATAGATAGATACCAGGGCAATGGTATAAATTGCTATAAAAATTTCAATGCTTTCTCTCAATTCCTGTACTTACCTCACTGCAGACCAGCAACAAATGTGACTGGCAGTGGTCCATAGGCCATACTGTGAGTAGTGCTGCTTCAGAGCCTCTACAGAACATGCTTTGCTCAGAATAATAATGCTACCCTAGGGCAATGTGATTGGGTCTTTAGTACTGTAGAGAAACCAGAGAAACTATATATATATATGTGTGTGTGTGTGTGTATTCAGATATATATATATATGTACATACTTATATATATCTTCTTATATATATAAAGAGATTTGTTAATATAAGGAATTGGCTCACACAGTTATAGAGTCTGAGAAGTCCCACAATCTGCTGTCAGCAAGCTAAAGACCCAGGAGAGCCAGTGGCATAGTTCCAGTCCGGGTCCAAATGCCTGAGAATCAGGAGAGCCAGCCATATAAGCTCCAGTCCAAGTCTGAGCCCAAAGGTCTGAGAAGACTGATGACCTAGGTCGAAGACAGGTGGAGAGGACAAGTTCTCCCTTACTTGGGAGGGTTGGCCTATTCAGGCCTCCAGCGCATTGGCTGTGGCCTGCCACGTTGGGAAGGGCCATCTGCTGTACTCTGTCCACCAATTCAGAAGTTAATCTCACCAGAAACAGCCTCACAAACACAGCCAGAATAATGTCTAAACAAATATCTGGGCAACCCATGGCCCAGTCAAGTTGACATGTAAAACTGACCATTTGAGAAGGGCATCATCTCAGGTCAACATGAGTTGGGCTCTTAGGCTTATTACTCTGTCAAGAAATGTACCAGTTCCTTGACCCTGTCAACAGGAACCACCCCTTTTGTTTTTAACCTCTCAACACCTTTTCCTTGATGTGTGACCATGGAGCCACCTCCCTGGTGTCCAGGAAACAGACTCATCATCAGGTCTGGTGCTTTCCATTTGAGCAGCCCCCTTCTCAGGGTCCAGCCAGTGCTTGCTGATGCCACTCAGCGCCGGAACCCACCGGTGCTTTGCTGCTCACATGTGATTCCTTAGTGCATTGTTTCACACACCAGCCAGCTTCTCCCTGAAGCTCACCCTGCCAGGTCCCATGGAGCTTCCTCTGTAACCCAGCAAGCTTTATTGTCAACCTAATATGCCCATGACTTCCTGTTGCCCCTGTATCCTGCTTTATATAATCCTTAGCAAGTGATTATTCATGATCCTTACTGAGTGTATGGCTAGTGCCAAGTCCAGTGTTTTCCATACTTTATTCAAAATTTATGACAGTATTCTTCAGTATGTCTCAGAACCCCAGAGGCTTATTAACTTACTTACACGGCCAACAAGGACAGAGGTGGGATTCAAATCTAACACCGTTTTTGACCAGAAAGTTCTGATTCTTAACTGTCAAGCCAGACTGCTTGTCTTAGTTCCTGCTGCTGGAACAAAATACTTTAGACTGGGTAATTTGTAAACAACAGAAATTTATTGTTTGTGGTTCTGTAGGCTGTGAAGTCCAAGATCAAGGCGCCCGCAGATTCAGTGTCTGGTGAGGGCTGCTCTCTGCTTCCAAGATGCCGTTTTGTTGCTGTGTCTTCATATGGTGGAAGGTGGGAAGGCAAAAGAGTCTTGCTGATTCCCCCCAGCCCTTCTATAAAGGCACTAATCTCATCCGTGAGGGAGGGGCCCTCATGACCTAATTATCTTCTAAAGGCCTTACGTCTTATTACTATCACACTGAATCTTAGTTTGCAACATATGAATTATAAGGAGGCAATACATTCAAACCATAGCACTGCCTTACATAACATAAAGAAAGGTTGTTCACATGATAAAAGTCACATATTATTTCCCAATGAGTAAAATTGCTGTTGAAAATATTTATTTATTTTTGTTTATTGCCGTCTATATAAGGATCCATCTTTAAGTTTTAGTTTCAGGACAAGGTTTGTCTTTGCTCATGAACCTGTATATTTCTCTTCCTAAGCTAAGGAGAGAATCTTAGAGCTTGGGTTTCCCCAGGCAGCTTGGAGTGAAATTTAGTCCTTAATTGCAGCAGCTGTTTTTAGCTTACTTGGGATAATGTTCTTCCTTTTCTTGAACACTACTTTATTTATCTATGTGCATGGTTCAGTTGCACGTGTTTTATTTCCCACTAGACTTCGAGCTTTTTGGGTGCAGTGACTAAATGAACTGAATATGTACCTAATTTTGTAAGCTGCTTTTTTGCAGAAGCAGACTATGTTGGTATATCAAGTGGGATTCAGTTGTGACCAGTTTTCTCTGCAAAGTAGTACTCAACATTTATTTGGGACTGAACTAGGGCGTGGGTTGGATATGCTTGCTTGAATATAACCCCCTTATTATGTCTGTAAAACTTTGTGTGGTAGGTCCAAAGCTACAGACAACCAGATAAAAGGTAATAATGGCAAGATATTTATAAAATTCTGAGAAACTAGAGCAGTGCATGGTGGAATGGGAAGGAAGGCTCTTAGCTTTTGTACTGACCATAATGAGTCTTGCTGCAAGTAGCAAAATTACATAAGATCAGGGAAGGTGTCTTTCCACGTTTACAAAGACTTAAACAGTGGTTAATTTAACAGCTGGGGAGGCTGATTGGGTGCTGGGGCCAGTGATGAGGGCAAAGCTGGAACTACACAGGTTGACCTCTCAACTCCTGGACCACAGGTGTCTCAGTCTGTTTTGTGCTGCTATGACAGAATACTCAGGACTGGGTAATTTATAAAGAAGAGAGGTTTGTTTCTTAGAGTTCTGGAGGCTGGGAAGTCCAAGGTTGAGGGGCCTGCATCTGGTGAGGGCCTTCTTGCTGTGTCATGTGTGGTGAAGGGTGGAAGGGGAAGAAAGCATGGGCGAGAGAGAGAGAGAGTTTGAAAGAGAAAGATGGAGAGAGAGAGAGAGAGAGAGAGAGAGAGAGAGAGAGAGAGAGAGAGAGAAATGAATGGAAGGGGTCTGAACTCATCCTTTTATCAAAGACCTGTAATAAGTAGCCCACTCCCATGCTAACAGCACTAATCCATTAATAAAGGCAGAGCCCTCCTTACTTAATTATCTCTTAAAGGTTTCCCCTCTCAACACTGTTGCATTGGGGATTAACTTTCCAACACATGAACTTTGGGGACATATTCATATTATATCAGTGGGCATGTCCATTCTCAAATGACCATGGAACAAGGCCCAAAGAAATCAGGATTGGCTTTAAAGAAAAGGGAGAGTAGTCCTAATTCATACATCTGATTCTACCTTTTAAACCTGTTTGGTCTGAAAATTAATTTGGAGAAAAGAGAAGGTGGTCATTGAAGTGCTCCTCCAAAGAGACATTCTGGGTTCTATTTAAATGTAAGGATAACTGAAGATCTACCCCTCATAACTGGCAAGAACAGGCATCCTTTGTAATTAGCATCCTGCCATTTGTGATTGGCCTGCGGATGTACATTTTGTTAGCTGTGGAAAGAGTTGAGGGGGGTTTGGAAGCTGACAGTTGGATCTCGCCTCAGCCATGTGTCTGTTTTACTTTTCGGGGCCCAGAGCATTTGTGAGAGTTGTCCTGGTAGTTATGATGAGTGAAAAGTACCTTTGAGAGAAATAGAGAAGTCAGGAAGTATAGCCTATTTTGTAGGAAGATAATTAATTCGTTTTTAGACATTTTGAGTTTGAAATGAGGGTTTGACATCTGGGTGGAAAATGTCTGGCGCTTAGCTGAGGCTGCTGAGTGGAAATAGCATGTAGCATGCTTGAGTTCTAGAACTTCTCCTTTCACTAAGTGGCTTTGTGTTCCTGGCCAAGCCTTTCGACTCTCAGGAGCCCATTGGTCCAGCACTGCCCAGTTCACCCTGTAGGAGCTCTAGTGTGAAGGGTTCCTTTCTATTCCCTGCGATTGGTTCCTGATGCTTCCTGCCTGTGGACCCTAATTCTGTTCAGAGGCTCATCAGCCCTCTTAGCGCTCTCTTCTAGATGTGGAAGCAGAACACGAGGTGTTCAGTGGCTCATTCACAAGAACAGAGCATTATTGGACACGTTGGGGCCAGGAGCCATGCTCTTTCTGTTCCGGACAGGACCATCTTTCTGACTGCCACTCCTCCTGCTTGTCTTTGCTTGTTCTTGTTCTTCCACTCTCTTTACCATCTCTTTTCTGCTTCCCTTTCACCTTCACCTGGAGCCTCTGTCCCACCTTGCACCAGTGGGAACATCTAAGCACCTGTGATGACTGGTGTGGAGCTTTGCCTGGAGGGTTTGTTAGTCTGGTCTAAGGGGATGCTTTCACTTCCCGTGAGAGTGTCAGAAGCTATTTCATTCTGGGACACCTTGAGGCATCACCTCTTTACAGCAGGGCAGGCGTGACTGGTGTTTCAGAGCGTTTGTGCTCACAGGCTACGTGTGCAAGCACTGTCTGCATCTCAGCCAGGCGTGGTGGCTGCTGCTCAGGGATGCAGACTGTTGCATGTACTTACTTAGAGCCTGGGCACTTCCTACCTGCTTTGAGAGCTGTGCATGTGGAACTCCTGTTTTACCTGGGAGAGATGAGACACACGTGGATATCTGCTGATCACAGCCAAGAGGCCCAGTGCCTGGGCAGCTGAGTCTCTTCTTACAAGCAGTGAGGGGGAATGTATCAGGCCGAGGAAATGAGCAAAGGATATTCTCATTTGTATAAAGGGACAGTTTGATGATGACATGGTGTGCCACAATGTACAGGGACAGCATGGTTCATGTTCATTGATTTCATGGGGAAAACGAAGTAAGATGTAAAGCAAAGAGAAGGGGAGAACCTGAGATCCTTTGGGAATCAGGTGCCATGGGGACCCTGGAAATGTCCTGACTTTCCCTCTAGAAATGCTATTGTTATTTTAAAAATGACACTGGCCATCTCAAAGTTGGGATGGACCTTTGAGGAAAGAAAGGAGGAATGAATGACAGTATCTTTCTTTCTCCTCCCCCGTCCTCTCGTGAGCAGGGAGAAGATGCCGTTCCACCATGTGACCGCTGGCTTGTTGTACAAGGGGAATTACCTCAACCGGTCACTCTCTGCTGGCAGCGACAGTGAGCAGCTGGCTAATATCTCGGTGGAGGAGCTTGACGGTAAGGAGCCTGCCCTGGTAGGGGGGGTGAGCCCCCACATTGAAGGCATTTGTGGCTATTGTGAAGCTGAGATGAAAACACTGGGCTGTGGTCACTCCTCGGCAGTGGTGGCCAAGTCTCCCCGTGGTGCAGTGGGAAAGAGTTTGGAGACAAAATCCTGCCCAAGTGACTTCTTTTTGTGGGACAGACCTAGTGGCCTGTATAATCTATGGCAGATATTTTGGTTTCCTTGGATACTGATGGAGGATATAGTCTTCACCTTAAAACGTTATTGTCCAGTTTCTGGAATCTTCCCCACAGTGGAATTGTCTTGTTTCTATGTCACCATTTACAACAGAGACCAGCTGCAGGGGAGGTTTAAGCCCTGTTAATGGCTGTCTCTTGACTGGTGGCCATGGTGCTTTGAATCCCGCCCAGATCAGAGTCATCTAGAAGCTGTGTCCAGGTGGCCATGGGAAGCAATTATTTTAATTGCATCTGTTCCTTTGTAACACAGTAGATCCCCAGGTGTTCAGGGCAGGGAGTGGGGAGGGGAATAAACCTGAGAACATGGTGACTAAATTCATCCTAGGACAGTGTTCCATGTATCCCTGTAAATATCCCCCTGATATAAAAAAATTTTAAAAGAAAAAGTAAATTAGGTTGATTCAGCCTGATGTTTTGCTTAGGCATTGCATCTCCTGAGGCCAAATCAGAATCAGGTTTCCTTAGTGTTTTTAAAAGCTGTGTTGCTTGTAATCATACTATCTTAAAACATGAAGTTTGAATTTACTTTTTAAAGTAGAGAAGTCAAAATGACCCCAGGTGGCCCACATGTTAGCTTTCAGGTGTGATGGTCCACACCGGTGTGCTTTGTATGTGCACATTGGAGAGCCTCATTTCTCACAAGAGGAAGGTGGGGATGTCTGGGTGTCTGGGTGTGGGACAGGGAAGCTAAACTTGCTTTACAGCAGGCAGGAGGTGAGCAAAGTGGAGAGGACAGATGGATAACTTTTCCTTCTCTTGTCCATTTTTATTCGTGTGCTTATTTAAACGCACACCGAATACATGAACGAGCAGTGAGGCAGCTGACGATGTGGGCCTTGGTGGCCTGGGTCCACGGGAGGTGTTAGAAGAACTAGGAGTGATGTGGACAGAGCTGACTTCTTAGGGACAACAGCTGCTCCCTGTGGCCTGGACAGAGGCTGGTGGCCTGAGAGGAGAGTGGGGACTCTCAGATCTCCTGGCCTTCAACTTGCCAAAGGATGTGTGGAGTCAGGACATGGAAGCAGGAGATAGAGCCCTGACCTCCTCCAGAATGAGCCCCTTCTGGTGACCACCGATCAGGGTAAGGCTGTGTGTGGGTGGATATTAGTCTGTTCAGGGTGATATAACAAAACGCCAGGGACTAAGAGGCTCATAAATCACAGAAGTTTCTTTCCTGCAGTTCTGGAGGCTGGGAAGTCCAAGATCAAGGTGCCAGCAGATATGACATCAGGTGACGGCCACTTCCTGATTCATAGATGGCACCTTCTCACTGTGTCTTCATGTGGGGGAAGGAGTCAATGAGCTCTATTGGGCCTTCTTTATAAGGGTACTGTCTTAGTCTGTTTTGTGTTGCTACAACAACATACCGCAGACTGATCAATTTATAAAGAAAAGTTTATTTGGTTCACAGTTCTGGAGGCTGGGAAGTCTAATAGCATGGCGCTGGCATCTGGTGAGGGTCATCATGCTGCGTCATCCCTTGGCATAAGGCAGAAGGGCAAGAGAGGGCAAGAGCGAGAGAGAAAGAGGGAGCCAAATTCACTTTTATGATAACCCACTCTCACAATAAGGAATTATTGTCATCATCCTGCAGTAAATGACATTAATCCATTCATAAGTGCTCTGCCCTCCTAATCACCTCCCAAAAGGCCTGAGCTCCTAATGTATCACTTTGGTGATTAGGTTTTCACCTATACATTTTGGGAGGACACAAGCATTCAGACCCTAGCAGGTGTGTTTGGCAGGCAACGCAATGCCCTGGCTTTCTCTATCTGTGAGTTCTACTTTGAATGGAGATCAGGGCAGGTGGTGCATTGACGTGGGGTGGATTTTTGCTTGTGTTTATTTGAGTAGGTCCCTCAGGCTCAGTCACCAGTTAGCAGGAGGGACTGGGAGTGCCCTGTGCAGGGCCTCCTGAGTGGCCCTGGTCATGAGAACTGGGCAACGCCATTTGTACATTTGGGCAACTCTTGAAGAGGTTGAGATTACTAACCAAATAAAGTTTGGAAATCATCCATATTTCCCCTTTCCTTCTCCCAACTTTGCTATAAATAATCAGGAGATGATTTCTCTGAGACTTCTCAGAGCTACAACTTTTCCCTGTGTTAAAGCTGGGCACTGCTAGGCCAGCTGTTTGCGTGGCTTTTGAAGAGGACTGCTGGCTGGATTTCAGCCCTTCTCCCCTGACTTGGGCACCTTGCTGAAATGCCCGCCACATTCTCAGACAAACAGCAGAACAGACGAGTGTGTTGTTTTAACCAGGCATGGGCAGCTCATTCAGGGCTGAAATGCCCGTTTTCAGTAGGGAGATAAGCAGGGGGTGATTCTAAGAGCCCTCCAAGCCCAGGCTGGGGCTGCCTGAGTCTTGGAAGCCTTAGGGCACCGGATTGAATGAAATGGGGACTTTATGGCCTGAGACTGGCTGGTAAAGATGCTGTGTTTGTCCTTCAGGAGGGTAATCGAGGCTCTCAGCCCGGAGAAGAGCCATTTATTTTCTGACGGAAGATTCATTCTACTTATTTATTTAGTTTTTGCCAAGGTGAACACTGAGTTATGACTGCTCCTGCTTTATTACAAGCATCTTTGGGGCTCTGGGCAGGACGGTGCAGATGTGTTCTGAGTTTAGAGTAGGAAGGCAGGGGCTGAAATCCAACTGGCCTGAATCTGTTCAGGGGACTATGGATCGGTTCTTGGGGAAGCCACAGTTTCCAAGGCATTGCTTGCCTGCTCTTCTCTTGGGCTGCCTCCTGTCAAGCTGACCCTGAAGTTCTGCTGCATGGGGCCGCTTGTTTATCCTCAGAGGGTGGGTGGTGTCACACAGGGAGGTGATGGACATTGCAGCATCCTTCCCGGTCTGGCTGCCTTGGGCACAGGCGTTCACTGGGCACCATCCTTATCTGCTTTCTCCCTCCCCACCCTGCCTCGACAGCAGCCTCCTGCTTGTGGATGGCCACAAGGATAGGGTTCTCCACCTGTTAGTGTTTCTCACCAGTGATGGAAGGTTCCTTTCCTTCCGGGTAAGGGTCAAAGGCGCCCATTCTGTGAGTGGTTATCCTCTAAGGACAGGCATGAAAAGAGCCACTCGCCACACAGGCCATTTGCAACTGCAGTTCACTTCTGGAAAGTTTCTATTTCTTCTCTTTAAAAAAAGTTCAAGCTGGGCAAGGTGGCTCACGCCTGTAATCCCAGCACTCTGGGAGGCTGAGGCGCGTGGATCGCTCAAGGTTAGGAGTTCAAAACCAGCCTGAGCAAGAGCGAGACCCCCGTCTCTATTAAAAATAGAAAGAAATTAATTGGCCAACTAATAAATATATATAGAAAAAGTTAGCTGGGCGTGGTGGTGCATGCCTGTAGTCCCAGCTACTCAGGAGGCCGAGGCAGTAGGATCGCTTGAGCCCAGGAGTTTGAGGTTGCTGTGAGCTAGGCTGACGCCACGGCACTCACTCTAGCCTGGGCAACAAAGCGAGACTCTGCCTCAATAATAAATAAATAAATAAATAAAGTTCAGGATGGAATAATGCAAAACTGCATCAAGTTGGCCAGATTGAAGCTGATAATCACCCAATCAAACAAGCTCAGCAAAGATGGATCAATGGAGGCATGCATTCATTCATTCCTATTCATTCATTCATTACAGGGATGTTTACCCAAATGCTTTCCAGGTAGAAGAGCAAAATCAAATAAGCATGATATTCACTGCCTGATTCCAAGGCTTACATCTATTCATGAAGTTTATGTAAATACCAAATTTATTAGCAGTATCTTATACTTTTAAAGTACACCATGCAAAATTTTATTAGACACATGGATTATAATGTTTGAAAAATAGTTTTCTCGCTGTTGTTTATTGAATATTCTTGTGATGCTATCTTAATCTGACATTAAATTGACCTCTATCTGAAGTTCATTTGTTTTCATTAATATATAGTGTACCATTGTACATAAATATACGTCAGTTTATTTATCCATTTTAATCTCAGTGGATATTTGCAACATGCCCAGTTTGGAGCTATTAGGATATAATATATTATCTTCCTTTTGCTGCAGCTGTGGTCTTAGGGTAGCTCTCGTGGCTCTGTCTTCCTGCTTTACTGAGGCCACATTTATAAATTCTCTCCCAACCCTTTGTCTCACTGAGAACAACTTGTATGCAGTTTATGAAAAATCTCCTCTTGACATAAATTATTTATATATATTACAATAAAAGTCTTTTCCCCCAAGTCTTCCAGATGATGGTACCTTCATCTTGGGTGTGAGGATATTTTTCACATGGTTCATTTTGCGTTTTTCTATTCTGCTTTGTCACTCAACAATGTAAATTTCTTTGTAGGCCCAGCATTCATCAGTAAACAAGATTTGTAAAGAGTTTTTTCTCTTCTTCACTTTATCCCAGACCTGGGATAACATTCCCCTTTTCAGCCCCAGCCTGGAAGGAGGTTGACATACACTTCACCTCCAGTTTCTAGAAGACACTGGTCTAGTCCATGGCATCTGGGAATGTCCTTGCTGCTGGCTTTATACTCCAAGCCACAGAATGATCTCCCTCTTAACGTTTTTCCCCCTCACTTTCTCTCCTTCCCATTCCCAAACTAGTATCCAGCATTCAGGTATCCCAGGAACATTCTGGTTCTCATCTCCACCCAGGAAGGGACTTACCAACCCACGGCTATGGCGAGGCAGTCTTCCTTCCATACGTGCCGCATAGTTCCAAGGGTGGGTGGAAATTGTGTTTCTTCTATTTCATTGGTGTTGCA